TAGCTTACAACATTTCCAATCCAATTATTGCACGAAAGCACGGAATTTTCTCGCCAACGGCACACACACACACACACAGAGAGAGAGAGAGAGAGAGAGAGAGAGAGAGAGAGAGAGAGAACTGTAGACTTAATATTTGCACGATCTGCTTCCGGATGAGTGCCAAACATTCTCGAATAAAAAAGAGGGGAAAAAGGCAAAAAAAGGAGGAAAAAAAAAACAAAAAAAAAAAAAAAAAAAAAAAAAAAAAGAAAAAAAAAAGAAAAAGAAAAAAGAAATGGAGATACAGAGAAAGCGAAAAAGGGAAGAAAAGCAATGCTTTTCGTGGCGCTACTTGTACGAGCACAATGCACTTTCTCTCTCTCTCTCTCTAACTCTACTTTTGCTACCCTTTTCAATAGGGGTTGCCGTCTTTCTCGTTTTCGGGCTCTCTGCGGATACTTCGAATTCATTTTTTTTTCTTTTGTTAATTTATTTTTTTCTTTTTTCTCTTGTCTTTCTTTTTTTTTTTTTTCTAACAATTCATCTCGTCATTACAGTATATATATATATACGTTTTCTTTCATTCTCGTTGTTCCGCGAAACAAGAAACGATTTTATTCGTACAGGTCCATCTACCTACCTTCTTCCTCGTCCCCTTTAGCTTTTCGACGATATTTTATTTTTCCAAGCTGAAAGCCCCGCTCGATAATCCCTCTCACGCACCTACAAAGCACCCTCTTTCTCGAGAGGAAACTTCGAATCACCGAGTCGAGACGTTTATCGAACTCTCTCTCTCCTTCTTATTTTTATTTTTATTTTTCTTCTTCTTCTTTTTCTTCTTCTTCTTCTTTTTATTTTCCTTCCCTCTCTTCATCACTTCGTAATGCTTACATATTTCGAGGATGTTACCTCGTTCGAGATAATAAACGAGTCGTCTGTAAAAAATTCTAAAACCGTTTATTATATCTTGAGTGAGTGGTCCAATAATCGTGTGTATTCCAATCGTAAAAAACTTTCTTTTTGAAGTGAAAACTTCTTTAGTATCGTTGTGATTTAAAACTCGACAAAACAAGAAAAAGCGGCACTGAAAAGAGAACAAACATTTACATCTATTGGTCATCCACGAGAAATTTAATCATGTCCCACCAGAAGTATCACGAATTCGGAAAAAAGATTATAATCAAATTCTAATGATTCTAATGTGAATTTTGTGGACACCCAAAAGGTGTGTGGGGGCACCTTTCGACCTCTCTTTGGTTCGAACCAAGGCTCGGTGACCGAAAGCACCACCACCGAGAAAATCACCACCGAGAACATCACCACCGAGAACACCACCGAGAGCAGCACAGAAGCAACGAACGTTTTCTCCTAATTCAATTTGAAAAGCTTTCTGGAGCGCGTCCAAAAGACATCCCGTATTCATGCCGGCGGAATGGCACTCGTAACTCATAGCCGTACAGTCACGGTTCTCTGACAAAGTTCAACGAGAACGAGAGAGAGAGAGAGAGATGGACAAATTCTTGGACTCTTAGTCTCGTACAATCAGTGTCATCCTTTCGGAGGATATCCCATCTCCAAAACGATTAAAGTATCTTATTTCTATTTAGTATTTCAAAAAGAAACAACAAATTTAATAAAAACATGTACTATATATATATATATAGTACAATTTTTGCCGTATATATCAAACTGATTCGATTACCATGATCATTGATTTTTCATTTCGAATACTATAATCGATTGATATATTGGCACGTAAGAAATAGCATTCGTAAGATTATATTCTTCAAGGATTCGATCTCTTTTCTCTCTCTCTCTCTCTCTCGTGGAATCGTTCGTCTGTAAAGAAAGAGAGTTCTCTTGTACTTTTTAGAGGGACTGTACCCGATGAACTACGGAAGGGAGTTTGGCCTGGAACGAATTGTCCCTTACCCGCAGGACATTCGAGAGCGTCCCGGCATCATTGAGAATACGCGTTGGGATTCTCGATCTTTCATCTCGTTACCACGAAAAACATCGCGATCATTTTCGATCCTTGCTTGCTTGCTTTGTCTTATTTTTTTTATTCTCTTTCTCCCGACCCGATAAGATGATTTTCCCGAGAGCGTTTCTTCGTCTTCCTTCGTCGTCTTTATCGTCTTTGTCATAGCCATCGTCGTAGTCGTAGTCGTCGTCGTCGTCTCCTCTTCTGCTAGGACGGAATCGTGGCCAATATTTTCCCCGGTCAGGAATGTCGGCTCTACGGGCAAGCACAAAATGGCTGCCAGCAGGAACGATCGACCGTTCCTACGTGCGAGTGAGAGAGAGAGAGAGAGAGAGAGAGAGAGAGAGAGAGACCGAATCATCCAACAAGGGAGAAAGGGGTACAAAGAGATAGAAAGAGATAGAATAATGCTGAAATAGTGGGAGCGAGAGAAGGAGAGAATATACGAGTGGTTCTTGCTCTTTCGCGTTCGTTCTCTCCTTCTCTATCTCTTTCTCTCTTTCTCCTTGTTCCTCTACTTCTTTCCCGTTTCCTCTTCTATTTACTCGTGTCATTTCTCTGTCGTTCAACACGCTTTATATGTACACATCTCTCGGTCTCTTCTTTTCTATCTCAAAGCCCTCGTCGTCGAATCATCATTCTCTTTCTTGCTCGAGCGCATCGAAGAATTCGTCTTGTTCGCTCTCGCCATCCTTGTCGTGTTTCAACGCTTTGACAATTCTCTCTCTCTCTCTGTTTCCCCCCCATGTTCTCACCGATCCGTCTTCTTCCTTTTCTTCCTCAAGGCTCGAAATCGTACGTGCGTCTCCGTCGCACGCAAAGTCCATCTTTCTCTCGTTCCGTCTCCTTATTGAACAGATAGCACCATTTCTCTTACTCTTTTGCTCACGTTACTCACACGAAGCTGTACTTACATATATATATGTATGTATATATATATACTATATACTGTATATACCGGGTACGATGGCGCTTCTCTTTCTCTCTTTATCTCTCGTATCCACTTTGTTCCCTATGGTAACGGCTCGAGAGAAAGAGAAAGATAGAGCGAGAGGGGAGATACGACCAATGCGGAGATAGAAAAGCACAATTACATGAGAGTAGGAACGAATACGCACACATAGAGAAGCAGGTAACACAGTGTGCGGTGCGCGCGCGATTCAACATAGGCGTTGGCAACGTCAAGCGACACGCGTTCTCTCTCTCTCTCTCTTTCTCTCTCTCTCTCTCTCTCTCTCTCTCACTCTCATGGTATAGCCAACGACAACCGCGTACACACTAATTGTGCGGCGTACCCAACTGAGTTACATTGTCTCTCGTATTATATACATACACGATATTGCGTGGCGGTTCTTCCCCGCAAACCTTCTCCCTTTCCCTATCCCTCTGGATCGAAGCGCCATCTAACCATCTATCCTGTAGCCACATCGACCTATCGAGAGATGGGCGCGTTTATGCATGCATGCATTCATGCATCCTCGAATGTATACATCTATCTATATGTGTATCTAGCATTTCACTCGCACTCCTGGACATATCGCGTAACACGAGGTACTGTTATTCGATATCCACGCTCGATCGAAGGTGGTAACGACGATGACGACGATGACGACGACGAGTGTACCAGGAGAACAGGAGAGAAGGGTTGGCTCCTGCTCCTGTTCCTGGTAATCTTTGTCGATTATATCAGGGAGAAAGAATATGCGACAGGGTTTACCCTTTTATGAAACGAACCGAACGAGCTTATTTATTCTTTCTTATATCTGATTTTCTACAGTCCCTCTGTTGTTTTTTTAAATATTCATATAAGAGTATTGTAACCGTTTTTGGTATAAACGAATGATATTCCAATATCCATCCTCAGAATGAAGTTTCCGTTTGGTTAAAGTTCGAGGCAAGTTATGGAGATACCAAACGAGAAACCGTCCGATTCTGACAACACGCTGTTTACAGTCGAACATGTATGTTTACGGGCGTCCTAATGAAATCCAGGAGCAAACAGGGGCCGGTAGAGCGTTTGCGAATGCGAAACCATAGCGTACCTGCTTCTAATTCGTTGTGCAACCACGTCGTTAATTCGGTGTGTAATTACGGCATAGACCATCGGATAAATTGCTTTGTCTGTCTCCATCGAAGAGAATAAGCGAATGCGTGGCATTCTAGTTGCTGAGATAGCCTACTATCATCATCGTATTCTACCTACCTAACTACTCTATGTACGAGTATGCTTATAATTGCAGGAAAAGGTTACGATAGTTTATCGATTCGAATTACGCTTTGGAAATTTTTCCGAAAGATTTGAACGAGCAATGTTTTTCAATCTTATCTACTTCTTTTATCTGCTATATTTATGCATCATTGTATAAAGTATCTAAGTATGTTCAAAGATAGGAAGGCAAATTGACGAAGCAAAAACTATCTATCATATACTCGTAAGTAAGCTAGTCATAATCCGATTGAAAAGCAAATCTTCGAATGACAATCTTCGTAGTGAAGTGGTCTGTAAATACAAACGTCGTTTCGGTCGGTTGGTCTCCTCGAGTTTATCCTCTTGCTCGTTTCTTAGGATCTCTTACCTGAGATGCTGTTAACGTGTGCATAAATGCATTCGCTCGTATCCCAGAGTAATCCTCATTTCATGCTAATGCTCATTTGTATGATGCATTACAAAGCTTAGAAACAATCGTCTCGTTTTTGTGCCGTTTCATAACTACTTTTATCTCTGCCTCTTGTCTATTTTGTCGTAAATTTCTTACTTGCATTTGCTTCTTTCTATCTCTACGTGAAAACGTACGACTACTAACTAACTACCTTTACGAAATTATACGTAATTACGTAATGTATATTTCATGCGTCACAGCACGTAGACCGAATTATGGATATTTCCGAGGATAACTTTTTGCGATACAACCGGATTGCTTGGTTGCGTGCGTGCGTGCGTTCATGTGCGCGCGTGCATGTGCGCGCGTGCTTGCATTTGTGTAACTTATACCTTCGCGAGCTACTTTTAACGTGTCGTGTTATTATTTTTCAGACGAAGCTTTGACCGAGGGAACTCTTCGGCGAAACGACGACTTTCCAGTGGAACGACATGCTTTCTTTATGGTACGTTAGATAGATATCTATTCTACTACGAAACACTTTCATCGACATTTATATTTATCTTGCAAAGATTAAATCGTTATTTATTTGACGAAATACTAGCAAGGAAAAAAAGCATTGCTTACAGTTATTCTCGGAAGAAAGATGTCTCTTTCTTCGAGTTAAGCCTCGACCCAAGGTGAATTTCTTTCGGTTCGCGGACCAATAGACAACGCGGTCGAGTCAAGGAGTCAGCTGCCTATTAGGGAAACCGAGAGATTCCTGAGTGGCTCGTTGTAATACTCTCCTCTGTCCTTGCTCCTTCCATCTATCTATTTCTTTCTCTCTCATTCTTTTTTTCCCTCTCTTGCTTGCATGCATACACACGACTGAGCAAGGGGTAGAAAAAAGATGGAAAGAAAAAGAGAGAGAGAGAAAGAGAGAGAAACACTCAGGTACTCTTCACTGTACGAACAGGAGGCTGAGCATACTCGAAAAACAGCATTGGTGTTTCGCGACGAAGAGACAGAAGCCTGTTCGCGTATATATAGCATATAACCTCTGTACAAAGGCTAGATCGTGCGTAGAAAATAAAAACGGTTTTCTTTGTCTATGGATTTTTATATTGGTGTACGTGACACGTGCTTATACCAGCTAGCTAGCCACTTCAACAAGAGACTCTTCTTTGATTTTCCTTGTCAATGGAAAACTTCCTTGTCTTATTTCATTGTTCAAAAATTTATCTGAGAATAATGAAAAGATTCAATATTCTTTATCAGGAATAATATGTATTAATTGTTCGTATAGGATGTTTCATATTATTCTATTTTGCAAGATTATAATATTTCAATTGAAGATTTGATTAGGACATATTTTGATTTTTATAAATGTCGAGCAACCTTAATTACGATTTATTAATTGTTACGAGCAATGGTAATGACTATAAATTTCAAGCGTGTATGATGAAAAATGTGAATAATTCCAATAATAAAATAACGACTCTGAACCTGATTATGAAAGTAACATTAACACGTTCCATGCCATGTGTGTGCTATTTATTAAAACATATGTTTTATGACAAATTTAATTCTGTAAAATATATTTCAATTAAATGAGTGAGGCATTAAGTATATAAAATGCAGTATAGAACAAAGCACATAAATTCGTTCAATTCTTATATATACAATAATTATTAATTACTTTGCAATTGGGGGTTAAAACTTTTCAACCCACGCATGTAAATTTCGTTCTTGAATTAAACTGTAAAAAAATGTACAAAAGAAAAAGTCAATTTTTGGAAATTCAGACAGGTAACAACTTCTTTGTGTACCAGCATCAAGTTTATGATACAGTATTAGTGTTAGAAATCCTTCCGAGAAATAAAAGATAGTAATAATCTAAAGTTATAGGGATGATAGAGAAAGTAACAAAGAATAACGCGCGGACAAAAGAGAGGATTCGGATGAAAGTGATGGATGAAAGGATAGAACGGAAAGAAAGAGGGACAAAATTTGCCACTCTCTATTGGTTTAACAATGCCTCTACAAACTGTGAGCCCACTAGAATTGTGGAATATAATAGGAACCCTTGGACATTATCTCGTAAATTTGAAATTACACGGTCATTTGTTATTATATGTTAGGTTATTATGATGAAATATTATTTTAAACGGGACAAGTTTAAGCGTGTCACCGCGACGGTTGAAATGTATTTTTCTGTTTTGAGTCGATTAACAAAGCGTTGTAAGGTGTTTAGCGTTATTATTGACACATAATATTTTAAAAGGTTTGTCGGTATGATTTGATCGAAAAAAGGATAATTCCAGGTAAGCGGCAGGTTCATCTTCGTAAAGGATTAAGAACGAAGAGGAAAAAGGGGAGTAGTAGGTCGAAAGAGCAGATTGTATTTTCCGACGGAAGCTTCTCCAGTTTCGACGGGGAGGATCGATTTATTTGCCGAGGAAAGTCGTTATATCGTGTCTAGTTGTTTGGTCTGGCTGGTTGTTCCCTTAACGTAGTTCGATCACGACGAAAGGATCGTGTTACGATAAAGAACCGTTCTGTTTTCCTCACCCTTCTTTAGCCCCCTACCCCTCTACTCTTCTTTTCCAAGCTGTTTCTCTTACTCTTGTTTCTTTGCTCATACGCTTTTCGTATCCCCTTCGTCGGAAATTCGAGTCGGCTATCGTCCTTGCGGTCTCTCTCTCTCCCCCCCTCCCCCCTCTCTCTTTCTTTCTTTCTTTCTTACTTTCAACAAGGTTTTTTGCTCGCGTTATAAGGATAACTAAATGTAATTGTTAGAGGTGAAAGAAAGCTTTTCCAAAATGGCTGATGATGGTTGCTAGCTCATTGACGTTGCTCGCTGCCACTAGGTAGGTTCGACTGATCGATAAAGCACTGACAGTACTACTACCCCTACTCTATTTCTCTTTTGGGATTACATCGGACGATTTGAAAATTGCTATTCGCTTTGATACCTTTTCCTCGTACGTTTTATTGACTTTTCTTTGCATTTACACAACGTTATTGAACCTGCCCGCTCGCCTAACGAAAGAAGAGTCACTTTTATCATTGCATAATAATCCTCTTTTCAAAAAGATTAAGATAATGAAATAAATGAAAAGTGGTTGATCACCGAAGGACAGCACCTACTTTATATACTTCTTTTCGGTTTTGAAAAATATTTAAAGAAAATTCAGAGTCGGCATTGGTGCATTTCGTGCCGCGCTATAATCGACTCAATTACTGTGATTATCGCACACGCGTGCATACGAGAGACCGAATACGAGCGAGTATATTAGGATAGTTCGAAGTAATGGGGAACGACGAGTACGTGGCAATATTCGATCGAGAACCACTTGGAGGAGTTTTAATCGAAAATTATTCTCCGTTAAAGGTTTGCCAAGAGAAACGGTGGCGGGGGGAGAAAAACATAGAGGGAGGAGGAGAAGGTTTGGGGGATGGGGGACGAGCGAGCGATGTACCGTGAAAAATCAATTTGTCGGGGTAGCGTTCCGCTTCTACTTTCCGCTAGTTGTTTTTACGTGACTATTTTCTCTTTTTTTTTTTTTTCCTTTTTTTTCTTTTTTTTTTTTTTCTTTCTTTTCTTTCTTTCTCTTTTTTTTTTCGTCGGCCGATTATCGAGACATCGAGGAATTATCGATTTCCGCGCGAATATTTTTTCTATTTATTTATTTATCCTTTTTTTTTTGTTTTTCTTTTTCTTTTTCTTCTCTCTAAATTAGACCGCGTTTATTCATTTTTTGTATTCGAGTTAGAATCCAACTCTAATTCCAATTACCCATCGAAAGAAAAAGATAATGTCTTTTCTATTTTGTAATAGCGTTCATACAACATCGGTTGAGAATATATTGATCAATTTATCAATTTGAGTATCAAGTAATATCGATTAATGCGTATCTTCGAAACGTTCTTTTTCTTATTTAACTAGGTGAAGTCTATCCAGTTTTGTAATGTATGTATGTATGCACGAGTAGTTTAATATCGATCGATAAATTTAACGATTTAGACACGAGAGAAATAACGATTAATGCGTATTATCAAGATATTTCTTTTTTATTTGACTAGCTGAAGAAGTCTGTCTACATTTGCAACATAGTAACAAGTGTACATATGTCAGGCTTGAAAATTCATTGATTAATTTATCAATTTTATTATCGTTAATATCGATTATAATGCGCGTAGGTAAGTATGTGTGTGTACGTGTGTTTAGAGATATTCTTGTTAGTTATTTAATTAGGTTAAGTTTTTTCTCTAAAGGTATGTATAATATATACGTAAGGACTATATACCGATCGACAAATTTATCGATATAATAGAAAAAGGAGGCGTGTATTTAAGGAGATCAATTTTTCTCTCGAATACACAAGGATGCAACCACACTAATACTACTCGTTGTACGAGGAACGCTGACGGACGCGTATCGCTCGAAACACCCTCATTTCGTAGTGGCCTAGTTCTATTCTCCAGCGAGTTATCAAGGGACAGAGAGAGAGAGGGAGAGAGAGAGAGAGAGAGAGAGAGAGAGAGAGAGAGAGAGAGAAAGAGACGGGAGTCGTTTACAAGCGAGTATAAATGTGACAAATCGTCCGTCAAACGAGATTAAGTGCTGCCACCGTCGTCGTGGGCGATCACGTAAGCGAGCAGCTTCGAATGTGAAAGCCAAGTGATTTTACCCTCCCTTTCTCTTCCATAGTCGACGAACCAAAGGACTTACGACCGGTAGCTATCTCTCTCTCTTTCTCTCTTTTTCTCTCTTTTTCTTTCCCTTCTATTTAAACGAACTTTCGAAAGCTCTTGGTCGACTTGCTACACCGACTACGATTGTCCGTGATGTATACACCGAGTACTCTCCATTGTTTTCTATATCTTTTATTCACTTTTCTAACCCTTTCCACAGAGAGCTATTAGACAACACCGTACCACGAGAATCGCAATTATTTCTACAGACTTATATCTGCATTAATAAACGATTTTTCGATATTATTTTGACCAGACAAAATTTTTCTTTTTGTACAAAATATTTGTCCTTAGTGTCTACGTTACGTGTTAAAATTTGGATTTATTTACGTATATTCTTCATTTTTTTTTTAACTGTTAAAAGAAATTGTAAAAAGTCGAAAATGAATTCTTTGCAGACACCTGGCTTGAGAAACACTCATTGTCAGCATTCCCTGGCATCCAATCGATCGGAATGAATCTCTCTCTCTCTCTCTCTCTCTCTCTCTCTCTCTCGCTTTTTTCCTTTCTTATCGAACGCTCGTAAAAAGAACGATATAAATGTTACGGTAACGAGGATCCAATAATGTCCATACCGTTAGGCGACAATTGTATTCGATTATTCGAAAGAGATTGTCATGATTTCGAGAAGAAAATCGAATTTCATTCTCACACCACTCTCTACGAATGAAATATATTAACGATTTGCACCCATCCTTAGTTCGCTTACCTTTTCTATCCAATTTTTTCGTTTCTACATATCTATATTATATGCTAATAACGTGT